AGCCATAAAGGCTCCTGATTCCAGTGGAAAAGGCGCCGCAGATTTATGGTCCCTCCAAATCCCCACACTCTAATTATCCCTGTTTTTAGTTTACTTATGGGTGGTGACCAATAAAATGATTTTCCATTTTGAATTTTTTTCCAACATGCAAAATGCAAGCTTCGCTTCCCTCTTACCCGCTTGGACGGATCTTTTCCGTGCGGGAAGCAAAGAAATCCCGTTTCCCTCGGCCTTGTCGGCCCAGGGCTGAGCTGCTGCCTCCGGTTGAGCGAACCGGGCCTTCCGCAGCACCCCCCAGCACCGCCGCCCCGCATACCCTTAATTGCAATTTAAGGGAGTATATTCTTTCCGTCCTCTCTTCGTCCAAGGGCATTTCCAGGAACCCCTCCCTAGAAGTCCTGCCGTGGGCCTAGCGGCTGGAAGAGTCACCCCGCAGAGCGGGTCCCCGACAGCCCCAGCCCGGTCACCTTTCCAACTGCGCCCTCCTGGCCACCGCACTGGGCGCGAGCCTGGGGCGCCCAGGGGCCCCCACGGAGGAGGAAGGTCGCCGGACCGAGCCCTCGCCACCGCTTGGCGCCCCCATCCCCCATCCTCCTCCCTTTGTTCCCCTTTCCGGATGCCGACTTGGAGATGGCAGGAAAAAAAATAACTAGATGGAAATCAAAGATTAGCCTGGGTGCGCGGGCGGCCTCCGCCGGGCCGGGCCATGCTCGGCCCGCGCCTCATAAATCTTCTTCGCGACTTGACAACAGCCGCGGCCTCGCTTCCCTGGGAACTTAGGAACGTATCGATCCTCCTCACTGTCCGTGCAACTCCCCTCTTCGGGAGCGAGAGCTGAGAGTCCCTGGTGACCCCGACTTCTGGCCAGCGCAGGACGCCCCCGGCCCCAGCCAGGGTATCATGCACAGAAGTGGAGGGGAAGGGGCCCAACCCTCACCCAAGAAAGCTCAGCAAATACCCACACCCCGTGGGTTAAACCAAACACATAATATTAGGGGCCGCATCTCCCCTCCTCCATGCCGCCTGAGAAGGGGCGGAGGGGAGGACGAAGAAGGGTGAGGGGCGGATTAACCCCTCCCTAGCGACTCCTTTGTTTGGCCCGGCTATTGCTGAGCCGAATGAGGCCCCCAGGAGCCAGCAAGGGGCTCCCGAGGCGGCCCCGGCTCGGCCCAGGTGTGCGGGCCACGCTGGGGCGCGGGTTCGCCGCCGAGCCACGAGACCCCCGCGCCTCCGGCTGACGTCCGGGCGCCCGGAGTCTGACGGCCCACGTGCGATCCACCCGGGAGCTGCGCCCCAGACGCCTCCTGGAGCGGGGGAGAACCTGAAGGAGGTCGTGGCGCGTTTAGATGTTTTAAAAACTCCAATTAATTGGGAAAATAGGGCGCTTCCAAACGCGGAGAAGACGTCCGGGGGTGGGGAAGGATGTCTTTTAAAAATTATATCCCCTTGTTGTGGCTGTTGTTTTTGACCTTTCCTACTATTAAAAGAAATGTTGCCACGTTTAATTTTTGTTGCCATGAGATATGGAGGGGGTAGCCCAGCATTTTGAAGTAATTTGATAAGCCTTCAAGTAGTAAATCCGAAAGGGAGGCCGGCGGCCCAGGTATAGTTTCTTTATAACCTGAATTTACAATGAAAGCATTCTTCTTTATGGATATAATAGATTAGATTTCACAACTTAATTCACCGGAATGGCTCCGTTTAAGGGAGCTCCGGCTGATTTTATTACGCCAAGCCAAATTGGATGTTTGTGGTCTTAACGAAAAGCGATCGTGACATAAAATATATAATTTTTAAAGTAAAAAACCAGCGGGTTGGACCCTGTCCCCTCCCCTATCCTTGCTCCTTACTCCCAAACCCCCAGTTTGGGAAATACGGAGAATAATTTTTGTGTGTTAGTTTCTACCGGGGAGACAGGCGCTCACGCGGGGCGGGGCTGGGCTCCTTCCCCGGCGGGCCAGAGGCCTCGCCGGCCAGTGCGCACGCGGCGCCGGTTCCCGGCCAAGGCTCGGGCCCGCTCCGCTGGCTCGTGTGAAACGTCGACATTCCCAGCGCAGGATCCGGGGTCTCGGGGGCACCCATGAGGCCCGAAGCCTCTGCCCGCCAGCGGCGACCGGACAGCTCCCCCGGGCGCGCAGAGTAGAGGAAGCGCCCTCGAAAGCCCCCGCACGCGTTCACGAGCTGGCCCTGCGCGGGCTCAGCGGCAGCCGCGGCGGGACACCCGGCAGGGACTTCGGCGCTACTTTGTGCCAAACAACTGCGCTCCCGGAGACACGGGCATGGCCGGCGGCAGCAGCTAGAGCGGGACCCAGCGCCCACCGCGTCCTCCACTGGGGCCCCTTTCGGCCCCTCGGCGAGTGCGGCCCGTGGGGAGTGGGCGTCGGCTAGAGGAATTCCCCGGCCCGGGCGACCCCCGCCTCTGAGCGGGCCCTCCCCACGTCGCCGCCCGCCAGGCCGACGGAGGACCAGGGCGGGGACGGGGGTCTCAGCGGCCCATTCTGCTGTCACTTCTGACCTATTCTCCAGCAACGGCGGCGTCAACCCCCGTCCCCGGCTTTTTTGCGAGGTTTGTTGAAGACGGATTTAGCCCCCGCAGAGTTGGGGAAGGACGGACAGACAGAAGGCCCAGCTCGGCCCACCCCTTCCCCTGGTCGTCTCCCGGCGGGCGGGAGCCGCAGCAACAGCCTCGGGGAGCGGGGCCTGGCCCAAGACCCCCTTCGCGACATCGGTAGCCAGGCATGGCCGGAGGGACCGCGGCTGCTCCACGTGGCTCCCGCCGGCCGCCACCCCGCGCAGGGAGGACGCGTGCGTGCGATGAGTGGCCGGCGGGCTGAGGGGACGCGCCTGAAATTAAATCTTCCCAGTGCCTGACCTTGTTTTTTCCTCGGCCCCTATAACGGCAGCAGCTGTTTTTTCCAGAATCCCTGCTGCTGGGGGAGGGGCGATATTATTATTATTTTTGGTTGTCACAACCTCCTGGAAAAATTCCCTGGCCTCAGAAAGTGTAACAATGGCCTGGCGGAGTTCTGGAGGAAGCGCCCCCTCCCCCTGCTTTCTCCAGGGATACTTCTGCCCTCGAGCTGCAGTGGGGACCTCCTCCCCTGCTCTGGCCCTGCAGCCCCCTCCCCGGCCTTCAGAGCCTTACAGCAGGCTCCTAAGTATGTGGCCGTGGGGTCCTGCTGGCCCCTTCTGCCTGCCGTGCCTACCGTCCCTGCCTCTGGTCACACCTGGGGAGTGAACTGGGGAGAAGCTGATAGTCTCCAGCATGAATGAGGCTTGAGGGGCACGAGGCAGCGGCCTGGACACCCCACCCACCCGGAGCCCTCCCCGGTGACCCTCACCCAGTGCCTCCTTTAACACACCACTGCACGCTGGACGCAGTGGCTCATGCCTGTAATCCCAGCACTTTGGGAGGCCGAGGAGGGCGGATCACTAGGTCAGAAGTTTGAGACCAGCCTGGACAATATGGTGAAACCCCATCTCTACTAAAAATACAAAAACTGGGGCCGGGCGCGGTTGCTCACGCCTGTAATCTCAGCACTTTGGGAGGCCGAGGCGGGCGGATCACTAGGTCAGGAGATGGAGACCATCCTGGTTAACATGGTGAAACCCCGTCTCTACTAAAAATACAAAAAATTAGCCGGGCGTGGTGGCGGGCGCCTGTAGTCCCAGCTACTTGGGAGGCTGAGGCAGGAGAATGACTTCAACCCCGGAGGCGGAGGTTGCAGTGAGCCGAGATCACACCACTGCACTCAAGCCTGGGCGACAAAGGGAGACTCCATCTGGGAAAAAAAAAAAAACAAAAACACACACCACTGCCACTGCCCAGCCCTATTTGGAAGACTTGCCTCCTCCCCAGGAATTCTGCTGTGTTTGCTTTTGGGGTCAGCGCTGGCCCAGAAGCAGTTAAAGATTAACCGGCCCTGGGGTAGAAGCCCTGGGGTAGAAGAGGGGGTTGAGGAGGGGGAGGGGAAGGGGCTCCAGCACAAGTAGTGCCCAATTTCTGGGCCCCTCCCTGGCGGCCAGGCGACTGCTGGGCTCTGCACACCGCCCATCCCCCCAGTGCTGCTGACCCCGCTCCAGCCTGCCCCCACCTGGCAGGCTGTGCAGTGGGTTCAGGTGGGAAGCAGTTGCTGGGCCCACCTGTCTGGCAAGGGCAACTGGGGAGCCCTGACTGCTTAGCACAGCTTCTGGCTCACACATCCCTGCAGAGTGTGGGTGCTTGGTGTGGAAAGAGGACGGACCTCTGCCCTCCTGGCCCTTCCTCCAGTGGGAGGAGAAGCGCAGGAAAGAGGCTGAACCCAGGAAGGGCTCTGGGCAGCCTGGTCAGCCAGTCCTATAGTGTGTGGCTGGTCTTGGCCTCCTGTTCTGCTTCCCTGTCACAGGGGTCCAGGGTGTGTGTGTGCACGTGCACGTGTGCGCTCGTGTGTGTGGACTGCTAGGGGCCCTCATACAGCCAATCCTGTGCCTGCATCTCCTTCTCCTGCGTGGGCCCTCCTTGGTCAGGAAGGGGAGGCAGGAGGGTCTCAGCCCCTACCTCATTCCACCCCAGTGGGAGTGGCCTCTTCATGTCCAGTTGGTCCCAGGATCCGCTACCCCATCATCAGTGTCGTCGTCATTGCAGGGCAGCGGCTCCTCCCAGCGGAGAGCTCCAGGACCCGCCCTGCCCTGTGGGCAGCAGGGCCCTCTCCCAAGCCCCTCATCCTGCCCATAAACGTATTTACACTTGTATTACCCCAGGTACGTGGCTGTGACAATGGCATCCCCAGCCTGCATAGAGGACAGGAATTGAACTTTAGTCTCCAGGCAATTAAGGTGCAGGGACTATACTTTATTAATGGTTGTTATGCAATAAAAAACAATACAATGGCCCCTATTTGTAGTTTTTAAATGCAGTTTGTTTTAATTTACGTTTCTGAGTACTTCTGGGGCTTGATGGGGGCTGTTGGGACATTGCTGGAGGGGCTGGGCCACAGTGCCTCCATTAGGAGGCACCGGAGATGAGGTGAGCCTGGGGTAGTGGGAAGTGCCGGGGATGTGGAGGGCACAGCCATGGCCTTACTCTGGCAGAAGACAGATGTTCTGGCTGCCTTTTAAAAAGCCGTGGCCTTGCCCGTTCTGTCCCTGGCCACTACAGAGTGGGCCTGGGGAAACATTCCTGAGCCTGACATCCGGAAGCCTGCTAGGCAGGGCCATTTCCCGGGGATGCTGTGACCTTGGGTACGGTGGCTCCCCTCACTCCCTGCACCCCCACAGGCATCTGGACAGGTCCCTTGGGTCCAAAAGCAGCTGGCCCAGTGTCTCTGGCCCCCTCTTCAGGAGCCTTGGAACTGGCCACAGAGGAAGCAGCCTTGTGTGGGGATTGGTTATTTCTTCTACCCTTGGGAGAGTCCAGTGTCCCTCCTGGCGCTGTCTGCCCAGCCAGGGCCCCGTAGTCAGTGCCAAGGCCTGAGGGCCCAGAAACCTCTCCAGGTGGGTCCCCTTGGCTTCCTTCTGCACCTGGCATCTGCCTCCCCGAGGCTGCACACCCACTGTGCAGAGGCTGCTTGGCTGGGAAGGGGCACCATCCCGCTGCCCCCTCCCCAACCCACACACAGACCTCAGGGCAAGGCAGGAGCTGAAATCGTGACAACAACATTTCACCCCTAGTGACTGAGCCAAAGCAAACTGCTTCCTGGGAAGAGAGGGGAAGAGAGGGGGAAAGGCTTCTGGGAAGTGTGAAGCCCAGCACTGGGGTTGGGCAGGGGGCTGGCTTTGCACAAAAGAAGGGGCCAGGCCTGGTGGCTCATGCCTGTAATCCCAGCACTTTGGGAGGCCAAGGCTGGAGGCTCACTTGAGTTCCAGAGTTTGAGACCAACCTGGGCAACATAGGGAGACCCCCATCTCTACAAAAAATAAAATTAGCTGGGCTTGGTGGCACATGCCTGTGGTCTCAGCTAATCAGGAGGCTGAGGCAGGAGGATTGCTTGAGCCCAGGAAGTTAAGGCTGCAGTGAGCCATGATCACGCCACTGCACTCCAGCCTGGGAGACGGAGCAAGAACTTGTCACAAAAACAAAAACAAAACAAACAAAAAAAGAAAGTGTGAGAAGGACCGGAGCTGGGGACTGTTGGATGGGACCATGTCCAGCTGTGGTGGTCCCAGGATCTGCCTGCTGCCCTCAGCCCCTTTTATTTCAGACCCATCAATAGCCTATGTGTTCAGCATCCAGATGTGGACACTATCAGAACCAGGGCCCCCAGGTGCCCCTGCATCCCACTTCCAGGCCCCCACGAGTTTTAGCCAGATGCAGCGCAGCCCTGTGTGGGGCCACCCTTGGTATGGTGGGCGGTGGGGGGCTGCAGGGTACCTCCTCGTTCCACTTTAGGCCACTCCCAGCCAGTGGCCCCGGCCCTGTCCGAGGCCACCCCACCCCTGGTCCTGAGGATGGAGTCTGCACCTGCTGCCCCTCCCACCAAGGACCATCCCAGTGCCTCTCCCTCCCTTTGCCTTTTATTCTGGGAGCCTCAGCTTGCCAAGTTAATTGGCAAACTTTCCCAGAAGTAAACTTGAGGGATGGAAATTAATAATTTTCTCGGTGTTGCACTCATTGCTAATCAGGCCAGCTGGGAGGAGGGGCCTGGGTGCATCAGAGGACCCCTGAAAAGCCATTAGCACGAACGAGATCTAAGGGTGAGGGTCCCCCATGCAATTCAGCAGCTCTGCAACCCCAGTGCCCAGGTGCAGGAATATGGGGGCACGGGGTGAAGACAAGGGCACCTTGGAAGGATTCCAGCCATTCCCACACCCACACCCGGCCCAGGCATGCTCTTGATCCCGTCCCACGTTCGTGCAAGCCTTGCCTGGGGGCCTGGTTACGACTCCCTGATGTGCTAGTCCAACTGTGACCTTAGCATTGCTCAGGAATCTCAGGCTCCCCGTCCCTCTGCTCTCCACGCACCTCCCTCCTAGAGACTGAGCCCTTGGTACACCAGCGTGTGGTCCCCATTGTCTGCAGAATAATGTCCCGGTTAATGTCCCTGGTCTCAGGAAAGGCTTTGGGGTTTCTGATGAATTAGGCAATCCCAGCAGGGTCACCCATGGGAATGCGGAGTGAGGCGGATGTAGAGGGGGGCTGCTATCTCCCGATCAACGGTTGGTCTCCCTGTCCGCA